CATTTATGAATGAACACATACAAACTTTATTCTCAGAATTTGATAAACAGTATTTCTGAATAAAGAAAAAGACTTGATATGTAATGTGTACATAATTCAGAAAGAAGCTATATGATCCTGGTTTATAGCTTTCTCAGAATGCCTGCCTGATGGGAAACATAAGGGAAAGGCTGAGTAATGAATAACTTATCTGCATGTATAAGTATTTATTTATCACACGAATTACATGGGACATCTAATGCTATAGGAAAGTTATTTCGTGGTAAAACTTGAACAAGGAGAAGGAGAACTTGAACAAGGACAAAAATACACCCTACTCTTTTGGTATCTTCTCTGGCTTGATAAAGTCCAAAATAATGTAGAAACATTGACATTCTAGTGGACTTAATCATCCTTATTAGCCCTACTGTCTGAACCAAATGTGCACTCCTACAGAGTTAGTAATCTGCCTTTGACGATGGTAGACATACACCTTTGTACTTCCAGAACAACCTAGGGAAAATTGGATTAAACTTGAAGGGATGTTTAGCATTAAAAAGACAAAGATTGGCAGCTCCTAATATTTTGTTAAGATAAAACAAAAGCCTTTGTTCTGTTTTAAAATTCCTCTTCTAAAAATAGAGAACATCTGAAAAGAAAATATCAGAATTTTATGTGCAAAATGCCAAAAGCATTGTGATTCTTTTTTTCTAAGATTTTCTTGTGAAACATTTTCTTGTGAAATTATGAAAAGTAGACTGAATTGTATTTTCCAATGGAATTCTTACAGTAGAATATTTGCATATACTGAGGAATAGATTTTCTGCATTACCGTGCAGATGTTATGATTTTCTTAAAAATCAGAGATATTTAATCTCTCTAGACATTCTCTTTTCAAATTTGGCTAAAATGCTTCAATGTAATTGAAACTGAAAAATTCCCAATGATATTTGAAATTCAGAAATACTAAAAATTATTTTGAATAATTTTGAGTGTCAATTAATGTCAGAGATCCTAATTAGTGGATGGACTTGGGCAGATTCTTCATTCTTTTCTAGTTATCTTTCGCTCTCATCTTGTCTGAATAATTAGATCATTTCTATAACATAATCTGGATTTTTAAGATCCATCTTTCTTTTAGTCAAATAATCACATAGTTTAATAGTAATTTTAAGTCTAATTTTTTGTAGGTAAAGCCATCTTGATAAACATTGTTTTGTTTAGTAAAAAAGTGATATTGCTTCAGCCAGAATCACAAGTATTTGAGATAAATTTTTCTCTGTGAGTCTTTATATTTTTCTCATATAATATGAATATTGAACTAATACAACTTATTGAATATGGTTACTTTTTGCATGACTTCTGCTTCCTTGGCATTGTTCTTTGTCTTTTCTTTGTGCTTTGCTTCTTGGTTTCCTTTTCTTCTCCTAGAAGAGAAGCTCCTCCTTTCATAATGAAAACTAGTTTGAAAAGCTATGACATTCAGTAAAAGTCTTTCTATACTCCAGTGGAATTTGAGAAGGTCTCCTGCAGGGAGCAGAAGAGTGGGGTTGCAATGGGAGGCTTGGCACATGATTCCTTTGGAAACGCTTCCATGTAATTAATTTACATTATTTTTCCCAACAAACAGAAGTTGCAAGGTCTTCTGTTTCTCTAGAATCATGGCCACACTACAACAAGCAAGGAAACACCTTTTTCTGGCAAATTAAACATACAGAGTCTGCAAAAAGAGACCTTGCAACTTCTGTTTGTTGGGAAGAAAGAATGTAAATTAATTACATTAAGCCTTAAACATCTAGAATAAAGCAATGAACATGTTCATCAGTCAGTGTTACAGATGATCACTGAGACTGGTATGTGTTGCAGCTTCATCTTCAAAAGCAAGAGGACATTACACTAATATAAGCTGATGCAGAAAATGTACTGGAGAGTTGAAGGGAGAAAATATTGGCTGCAAATCCCTGTAAAAAGACAGAACTCCCCTCCAACCTCTTGCACTTCATCAAAAGAGTCATCTAGGTCAGTACTGGTTTGGGATCTTACACTGGGATCAGGAAGGCAGCTATGGAAGTTAATTCTCCTGACTCTCCTATAGGCTCTGATGAGTCCCTTTTGCCAACCCAGCTGTTGGCTGTACACCTGCAGGTGGTTGCTCTTTGCTGCCCCTGTTCTGCTGGGAGACACCTAATGGGAAGAGCTGAAACTGTGAATTATGTGCAAAGGAAGGAGAGGACAGGGCTTAGGTACTCACAAGTCACTGTGACCTGCCAAAGCACTCTCTTGCTCTTGTCAATTCCTCTAGACCTGAACTGCCCAACAGTATAAGCAAAAATATTACTTAATATGTTACCATTAGAGGTAACCTGTTAAGGCATCTAGACAAATATTTAACTCTCATGTGACAGCTAACTTACATTCACCAAGTTTCTTGATGTCCTCTAGTTGGAGAAGTACTAATCTTCAAATACATTCCTAAAGAAAATGACTAAGCCATCAGATTTGATTGATCAAAGCTATTACTTTTATCTAAGAAAACCTGATTTAAAAACTTTTTTACTCTTCTTCACATTGTGTGTTTCTGACTTCACTCTGTTGTCCCCAAGCCCATTTATTTTTATATTGTGAAATTGTTGTTGACTTGCAGGAAAAATGAATACAAACATTGTTTGTCCTTCTTAACCTGATCCATTTTTATTCTTCCAAATCTTCTTCTTCAATTGATTTTGCATGTTTCTGTCCTTCTTGGTTTGTTGTGGATTTTTTTTGTTGGGTTTTTTTTTGGTTTGTTTGTTTGCTTGTCTTTTTACAAGGGAAGGAACTTGAAGCCTGGTAACAGGTTTCACTTTGGAAAGTCTTAGGCATGTGCTGGTGGCTGATGAACCTACTTCCAATGTCTACAGTTCAATGCCAGTCCTGCAATGTGAAAATATAACTTCCTTTCCCAAGTGAATGAGTGCCATGATTTAAAGATCACCCAGTTTTGCTGAGCACACTGCAGGATTTTGGCAGCTGGGGATAAACAGGTGACAGATTTACAACTAAAGTTATTATGTGGGTACATTTAATTTGCCCCCTTTATAAATTAGCTCCTGTTTTTACCACATGATAGAAACCATTTTTGGTGGTTTCTATCTCAAAAGTCATCTGGACATGATCCTGGGCAACTGTCTCCAGGTGGCTTGGGAATGTGGGGTTGGATCAGACCGCTTCCTGAGGTCCTTTCCCACCTCAGCTGTCCTGGGGTTCTGTGAAAATGTGGATATATCCCACAGTTTGGCTGGAATGTTCAGCCATGAGAGACTCTTTCACAAATGTTTTCTCTTAACCTTTCGCTTAATCTCTTTAACACATCTACTGTTTGACGCACCTTGCAATTATTGGGTCTGTAGCAATGGAAGTCTAATGTTGTTGATTATGTGGGAGCCATTTCGCCTTTCCATACTGGTAGAGCCATGTTCACTTATTTTACTTTATGAATTATTAGACAGAAGTTAATACCTTTATTTTAAATGCTACATTTAAACTAAGTGGGACATACTCCTCCTTGCACTGTGTAGTGACAATTTTTTATATTGTGGTCCTATATCTACTATGGATAATTTATCTTTCGTGGATGGCTGCCCCTTTTTTCTGTAAATTTTTACCTACAACCTTACTGTTATACACTGAAAGTGCTGAAAGTACATAGCTAAGGAATTTACGAACAGAAAAAAAAAGAACTAATTGCATTTCAATGTACTTATTGAACTGTTGACTACAAAGGTAAATAACTTTTGTAGCCACTGCTGAAAAAAAAAAAAAAGAATACTTTTCTGCCAAAGTGAATGTTTGATTTGTATTACTTTTTGAGAAGACGCCAGTCAGTTTGCTGCTGTGGCCTTCAGAGGCATTGAGCGCACTGGCCAATGCACTGACCTGTGTGTGAACTGTGTGTAGAGCAACAGTGAAATTGTACGGCTGCCCAGGCCTATAGCAAAATCCCCCTTGGCTTCCATGGATGCGTGTCTCTCACATGGTGAGCACTTAGGCAATCTCTAGTTGAAGTCAATAGTTTGTGAAGCCTTTGGGAATGGCCTGAGCAAAGTCAGGTCAGCCTTGTGGTTGTGACTGAGAGCTGTGCCAGGAAGATGGTAGGGATGCAGGGGGAAAGTCCCCATGTGCCAAGGATGGCATCCAGCATGGTCATATAGGGTCTCTTGCCATGACTGGCCTCCTGCCAGCTCTGGTGGCAGGGCCACATCAGGGGTCTTGGCGGTGGAGAGCCACACTACTGCTGTGGCCGCTTGTCTTGGTCCTTGTGGCATGGTTGTTGCCTGCCCGCACAGGGGATTGGCTCTGTTTGCATCTTGTGTCCATCAGAAACCATCTGTCATCAAGGAAGAGCAAGAAGTGCGTTAGCAGACATGGAGATGGCTGGTAGACAGAGCTTGCAGCGAAGTGTCTTCCATCACACCTCAGAGCCTTCCAGTGCCATGGGTGTGGCAACACCATGCTCCCGGATGGCGTCACCAGAGAGGCCCTGTGCCCCAGACCTGCTCCGTGTCCTTTCTGGCCCAGGCCCAGGCGTCACATCCTGGCCCAGCCCCGCCATGGCGCCAAGGTGTGTGAGCCCCGCCCCCAGGAGCACGGCCAATGGGGAGCCTTCCCGCCAGGCCTTGCCTCACCCCAGTGGCCAGTGGGGTGGGTGGGGTTTCCAGGATGCAGCAGCTGCAAATGAGGCTCCACCCACCTGATCATGTGGCCCAGTGCTGGGTGGGTCACATGTGGTCACGTGCAACCTCGTGTGATGGGCATGGTGTCATCAGGCTCCTCCCCGGTATGACGTCACGGCTCTCGCGAGAGCTCTCCGTGCTGCCCCCTAGAGGTGTGAAGGGGCGCAGGTGAGCTCCAGACTGGGCCCGCCCCACCTGCGGTCCCGCCTCTAGCCCCGCCCATCCCTCTGGGGAGCCAATGGGAACGCTGGCTGAGTCTTTCCCCATTGGCTGGCTGCCTGCCATGCAACTGAGCCTCAACGTCACTTCCTCTCGTAGATCAAGCGCCATTTTCTCTTTCTGGCGGTTGATGCGGCGCGGGCGGCGCGCGGGCGGTGGGCGCTGAGGAGGTGGGCGCAGGGCGAGGCGCGCGCGGAGCCCCGGCCATGCCGTCACCCCCCCGGGGCGCGCACTGAGCGCGGCGGCGGCGCCAGGCCGGGAGGCGGGGCCGCGGGAGCGGTGGCACCGGGCAGCGCCGGCGGCAGCGCCGGGGGCAGAGCCGCAGCCGTGAGCGGTGGGTGGCGGCGGTGCGGGATCGCGGCGGACGGCGGCGACGGCCGCAGGAGGAGGAGGAGCGGGAGCGAGAGCCAGGAGGAGGAGCAGCAGCGGCGGGGGCTCCCCCTGCAGCCTGGCCGGGTATGTGCGGCGGGGCGGGGCGGAGGGCGGCGAACGCCCTGGTCGCTGCGCGATTTCGGCTCGGCGGGCGCCACGGGTTCAGAGCGGCTTCCACGAGCGGCCAGGGAGGGACGGGACGGGTCCGGCGCGGCCCCATCGGGCGAAGCGTTGTACGCGGGGATGCTCCCCCGCTGCCTCGCCGCTGCCGCGGGCTGTGAGCAGCTCTGTATCACCGCGCGTCCTACGTGTTGGTTATTTAATTCCAGGTCGCACTTCAGCGATGGAGTGTCTAAGGACCCAGCTTAATAGCTTGCTTTGAAGTCTGAATAATTTTAATTGCTTTTAATGAATTGTTTTGGTTTGAAACAGTTTGTGGCAAACTGTAGGAGGGACAGGAGTGACACGCGTACAGAACCAGCACTTCACCACCGGCTAATGGAACCAGTTAATGGGACGCAAAATTACGTCGAATATCCTTGTGGTGTCTCATGCCACAACAATGCATACATTTAGAAAGAAAGTTTATGAATACTGTAAACAAACACAACCCACACAATGCAAGCCGTGAAAACCATTAGAATGCGCTTGCTTTGTGGTCGAGACCAGGTAATGGGGAGTTCCAGTTGTCCTGGTTTGTGAACAGAATGAAAGACACGTGTGTAACTCCTGCTGCAGGGGTTCAGAGTCCTGGGCTGCCAAAGTTATGAACACTTTGAGCAGATAAAGTTTTGATGGGTTAATTACTTGGGACGAATTGCTTGTTGTTCTTAACAGTTTTCTTTCGACCAAAAATTTGTGTTTGTTAAAAGTTTTAAAGAGCTACAATGAAACACTTAAAAAGACTCCTGGGGTATTGAATCTATATTCTAGACATCCTAGTGCTGCTTTTAATAAACTTCAATTTTGATAAAAAAATGGAGTTTCTTCAGCACAATATTTAGGAACTGGGTAAGAAATAAAGAATATGATAACTTGTAATAAGGTTTATTATAAGGTATAGTGTATATGATAAGCTGTAATAATTTCTTTGGTTTGTTTCATGGAGATTTTGTGAAAAGCAACATCCGCCACAAATTACAGCAGATCTTTAGAAACAAGAGCACATACAGTTTTGTTATGCCTTATGTTTTTCCATTGGGAATTCCTGGATTTGGGCTAAGTCTTACTGAGTGCTGGTGGAGCTGGTTTGTGTTTAAACACTTTAGTCCTTCTTCTGAAACCTGTTGCACAGCCCTGGGGATGATTTCAGTTCTGTCCCCTTTCTGACTTGTTAAGGTTTTGGATTGTCTGTGCTGTGGACTGTTGTCTCCATTTGTAAAGTGCAAAGTCTTCGGGTCACACCAAGCTGACAAGTGCAGCACAAATGCAGTGGTACTTCCTCCTGGAATAGCTGTACTCAGGGTGTGACTCTTCTGCTCACATACACGTGGGGCTGACAAATCCTGCAGGATTTGAGTGGGCTCTATGCAGATGCTTCTATCACCTAGGATGAGCTTGGATCCTGCTGGGTTCAGGTTCTGGCTAATGTCCAGAAGGGACTTTCAAGGGAGTCAAAGTATTGTGTGAATTAGTGCTTTAGGAAGGCTCCATGAGTCTAAATGGTAGTGTCCCTCCATGGTAGTGTCCTTTAGCCTCTTCTCACCAGTCTTGGATAGCAGGGATTTGGTTGTGTGTTAATGAACCATCACAATAGTTATTTAAACCACAGTGGCTGTAGTTAGTGATCTAAATTTGCTTTGATATGTTAGGTAAGATGCAGGTTGTTGTGCTGCATCTCAGGCTATGCCATCACATATCTTACTCCTCTTCATTGTGTGTTAGCAGCTGTTGAATGATGGTCGTCTTCATGTTGGGCAAGGTGACCTTTTCAACAGGTTTGTGATTTATAGCCATGAAAAGAGCAGAATTGTTGTGATTCTTACGAGATCTATGATTTGAAATGCCCAGAGGTTTCTGATATAGCTGGACAAAGAGTTAATTTTTTTTCTTACCTCAGATTTCTATTAAGTTGCCCTTGGATAGAAATCTGAATATAAGAAGATAAACTACTTTGGTGACCAGAACTGCTCTTTGTGCATTTTATTAGAATATATTTTAAATTACAACTGATTAAACAATGAACAAGAATAGCATCCATTCTATTAAGTCAACTTTTTCTTTAGGAAGCTTTCTTCCCTCTCCCTCCATAGGTTGGATAAGCTTTGATGGTGCTGATGTACTTGTAAATCCTGTTAGGTCTCTTTCAGAGATAAGAGTCCAGGAAATGGAACTGACCTGTAATGTGTGGTTGAGCAGATACCCAGGTGTGACTTCTCAGAGGATATGTAAGCTTACCAGAAACAAAATAAAATTGATGAGGGTAAAATCTGGTATGGCCAAGACAAACTCTCATTCTTCTAGGCAGTTTTTTAGTGTGCCTGTCCTCCCAGCTGCTCTCTGCCATCCGGTGTTCTTGTTCCCAGGGTTCTTGAAAATAGATCACATGCTTTCATTCGACTTTCAGGAACGAAGCAGTTTTTATTGTTTTCTGAACTAATATGAATTGTCAACTTCTAATAAGTTTACTGTAATGGAAATAATTTGTGGGGACCGTGGGAGGCATTCCCTGGGTTGGGGAGACACAAGAGGCTTCCCTCAGGGGCTTTTGGGACCCCATTGGCTCCTTCTGTGCCCCTCAGCCACTCCCTCCCTTATTCCCGGCCATCATCTTTGTACTGCCTGAGAGCATGCTTCAGCCCGAGCTCTGGGGAGAGGGAGAAACTGATGCTGCCGTCATGAGTGTGCCTTGCACCCTGAACATGCCACCATGCAGCTGAATAAAGCATCTGTGGATACCATGCAAAGGCCCTTTTTGCTTCCTTACCCTGGACTTTACTAGGAATATTCTGGCTGCAACGTAATTTTTTATTGGTGCTTGTCAGTTCTGATGACTGCTGAAGTACAAGTTAGTAAACAAACCTTCCAAAATACTCCAACCCAAATGTTCCAAACCTGTATATTTTTATAAAGGTCCTATAAAAGATACAAACCTTTTAAAAAAACCGAAGAGATTTCAAAAATCTTTTTCTCAGTTACTAATGACAGTTACTAGATAAAAGTTACAAAAACTTAAGAGTTATTCAATTTCCGAGGTAGATAGTTGAGAGGACGAAGTTCCATTAGTCTTCCATAATTTCCTGCTCAAAGCAGTTCTTTGAGCAACAGGCAAGTGAAGGCCAACCACTTAGAAACACGTCTGGAAATCTTGCTTCTGTACAGATTTTCTGGTGTCTAAAAGTGTTACATTACGGCTGTTTTCTCTGTGGATCTTCTGACATTCCTCTTTTCCTGAAAACTCTAGAAATGCCTGATTATCTAGTTGACTGGATTTTGCTGGAAGCATTTGCATGCCCGTTGAAGGCACATATGTGCATCTTCCTTTTGCCAGCTCCATACCAACTCCATTTTCATTTGCTTGCAAATGCCTACTTCCTGTAGGAACACAAACAAAAGTGGTGCAGATTTCATGTAAGGAGTAAAGCTCTCAATGTGAGCACAGTCTGTCACTGGAGGAGGTTGCCCAGAGAGGCTGCCAAACCTGACTGGCCAAAACAGAGTGCCCTGGCTGCAATTAATGGTTGAGCCTGCTTATAGGAAGCTGGACTGGCTGTCCTCTCAAGGTTCCTTCCAAGGGGAATGAGAATGGTTCTAAGAAGTAAAAGGAATAGGAACTTGGCATTTTGTGATGATTTCCCTTTTTGAAGAGGTGCAGTGTTAGTGTTTTTCCCTTTTTTTGTAATGCTGAGAAATGATAGTAAAAGGTAGTTACTTTGAAAACTGGTGTCTTTGTCTACCAAGATACTGTGCAGACTGTTATTTTGTCTTTTAGGCTAGACTTAAAATACTGCAGTACTGCTGGAAGGGAAGAGTTGCATTTGTGATCTTTGAAAAATCAAATGTAGTAAGTTGGGTGTTGCAATCTATGGTAACAAATGCAGAAATGAAACAAACCCATAGTGTTGAATAAAGCTACACTGTGTATCATTATGGAGATGTTATCTGAAAAAAACCAACAAATAGGAATAGCTTAATGGCTAAAATGCCTGAGCAAGAGTTGGATAGCCTTCTTAGAACGGAATTTGAGACATCAGCTGCTACAATTATTCCTTTATTTTGCTAAAAACTTGCCTTGGTTCTGTTTAAGAAGTGACGCTAGTCTGAAAACTCAGTGGATTATCAGGTTTTTTGGAAACAATTTAAAGCTGTGAAGAATAAATTTTTGTCTTTTAGACAGGCAGTGCAGTAAAATGATAAAGACTCTTGGTAACCCTCGTTCAGTTTAACTGTAGTCCTTTTGTGTTGAATTTGCTGATTAAGAATGGAATGTGGACCAAGAAATTCATGGAACCAATGTGCAAACTAAAGCCTGAGGAATGTCAAAAATATAAGAAAAAAAAATTATTAGTATGAAAATGTGGATAATAAACTGCATAATAATAAAGGAATTAAACTGAGGGCTTGAGGAAATAAGCTTAGAAGGTTGATCTTTTGTGACCTTTATGATAGGGCAGTGCTGGTCTAATGGATAGAGAGACTCCAAGAGGAGCGTAGATTTAGGTTGAATATTAGGAAGAAATTCTTAACTGTGAGGGTGGTGAGGCATTGGCAGAAGTTTTCCAGAGGAGCTGTGGATGCCCCATCCCTGGAAATGTTCTAGACCAGGTTGGATGGGACTTTGAGCAGCTTGGTCTAGGGGGAGGTGTCCTTGCCCGTGGGAGTAGATCTGGAACTAGATGATCTTTAAGATCCATTCCAACCCATACCGTTCTGCAATTCTGGTGTGAGATCCTTTAAGATCCTTACTTGCAAGAACATTGTTCGAATACCTACTGAATAACATTGCAAATGATTGCACGTGGTGGCCTTTGGATTGAAGACCAACTGTTTGAGAACTGGAACATAATTTATATTCAAGTTTTTTTCTGTTATGGTGGAGGTTTTGGTGTGTTTTTCTTTCTCATGGATTAATCATTTAAGGATAATTAATAATTTTATTTCATTTTCTTCTGCATTAATAATTTCAGAATGATTGCTGGTTAAGAAAACTGTTGAGGTACATGGATGTTGTGTACTACACCCCTATTGACTGTTTCTTCTTTGTGAGCTAGACATGCCTCAACAAATGCCTGTATCACCTTCTTCAGTAGCATCAATGTATGAAGTGGAAGACTGAGATGGGGAAACTGTTTCCATTGGAGCCTCATGTATTGAACCATATTTCCTTCTGGCTGATCACCACTGGGCATGGTGGTGTCCAGTAGCTCTGTTGTTATCCGCACTGGACCGTGGGCTTGATGTGCATAACCTGCTGTCATAGAGGGACTGATCTTCAAACTTTAACTAGGGACTCAGCAAATTCCTGGTGACTTCACTTTAAAAAGAGTATTTTATGTCAAATTTTTGCTCATTGCCTTTTGAGAGAATGCCAGACCAGTTACTCTGATTTATTCCATTCTGTATAGGTTCCTGTGGTACACCTACCCCGATGGTATCAGAATGTCTTCTGGACTTGGTGATAAAAAACATTAGAAAACAAGACTAGCATCTGTCAAATGGGGTTCCCTCTCCATTTCTCTCTACACACCTTTCCTTTCAGGGGAGAAGAAGCGAAGAATAGTATGTGAGTTTGTTGAATTTTAATCATAAATCCTTCAGTTACGTGTTTTGTACGTAAATTAAGGTTTGGGGTGGTTACATACAGACTGGAACATTTTTATATGGTTTGTGGGTTTTGGGGATTTTTTGAGGCTTAGCTTGTGTCTTATGTGCAGGGGGATTTTGCAACTATTTGCATGAAAGTCTTCTTCAAAGTAGAGCTTTCATGTTGGCACGGAGCTTGCTTTTTTTGGTAAAAGCACAGCTTTTCAATCCATTTGAGACTGTATGTGCTGAAAGACTGTTTGGAGATTTCCTCTATTTCTATTTTTTTTTTCTTTTTCCTGTTCAGGCATCTCCTGGATGGATGAATTGTTTAGCAGTAGGATGTTGTAAATGCTCCTGGATCCTCTGTCAGCTATTTAAGCACCAACTACTGGAGAAGTTTCCAGTGACCTTTTTCAGTGCAAGCTTAGGGTTGGGTTTTGCATTCTGTGTCCATTGCAGTGTCTTAAAGTACAGTCTAAATTGTATCTTGCTGTAATCTAAGAAGGAGTTGACAAAGGCTGAGCTTTTTTTTTTACTTCTGCAGCTGTGCCTGTGGAGATACATTACAAGTTCACAAAAGTAGAAGCTTTTGCAGGAAATCTAGATTTTACTAGCAGTCATATTTTAAGCATGTCCATGGTTGACAGCAAACAAAAATATCAAAAAGATTTCTCATCTTGATGCTAACATTTAAGGTGAAAGGTGTGGAATTTCCCTTACATGATATGATCATAATTTTCTGAATAGAACTTAATAAAATTCTGGTATTCATGTTCTTTTACGAAAACCCTACAAAACTATGTTCCTGCCATGTAGATACAAGGAGATCTGAAAGAAAAATTTGGAATTTTCTGTAGAAAGAAGAAATATAAAGATTCCCTCCCCCCCCCTTACATTCTTTTTCCTTGAAAATCAGTCAACTTTTCTACTTGGGAAATGCTAGTGAGCCCGCTTCTTTGGCTTAAAGATTTTGGGTTTTCATATTTAAGAAATGGCATCCTGGCCCATATCAGCAGGAGTGTGTCCAGCAGGACTGGGGCAGTGATTGACCCTGTACTTGGCACTGGTGAGGCCTCACTTCAAGTGCTGTGTCTAGTTTTGTGCTCCTCAGTACAGGAAGGACATTGAGGAGCAGGAGTGAGTTCAGAGAAGGGCAGTGAATGTGGGGAAGAGTCTGGAGCACAAGTCCAATGAGGAGTGGCTAAGGCAGCTGGGGGTGTTTAGCCTGGAGCAAAGGAGGCTCAGGGGTGACCTTATCACTCTACAACTGAAAGGAAGCTGTAGCCAGGTGGCGGTCAGTCTTTTCCTCCAAGTCACTTGTTACTTGGAAAAGAGCCAAGTTGCATCAGGGAAGGTTTAAGTTGGATATTAGGAAAAACTTCTTCAGAAAAAGGGTTGCCAAGCACTAGAATGGGCTGGCAAGGGAAGTAGTTCAGTTCCCATTCCTGGAGGTATTTGAAAGACACGTAGGTGTGGTGATGAGAGGCATGGATAATGACTGTGGTGGGTTAATGTTTGAACTCGATGATCTTAGATGTCTTTTCTAACCTAAATATTTGTATTCTCTGACTTTTCAGATTTTAGTTCTTATTTTAACACACTTAAATGCAAGTACCTGTGTTGAAGTATTTAGTGTGTTTTTTCATTCCTTATTATTTTTCCTCCTTTTTTTTTTTTTTCTTTTTTTTCTTTATTTTTTGGTTATTGTGTTTTTTTTTTTCCCAGGAAAAGTGCAAAATGTTTCAAATTCCTGTTCAAAACCTTGATAATGTAAGGAAGGCTCGAAAAAAGGTGAAGGACATTCTTGTGGATCTTGGGCTTGACAGCTGCAGGGAATTATTGAAGGTAAAGTATTTGAAAGAATGTAAACAAATCTGAAATGTAAACTCCTGACAAATATTTCACCTTCTGGTGTATATATGATAGCTTTTTTGGGGGAGTCCTTACATTAGGGGTTACTTATTACTGACTGTTCATACCCAGGGCAGGAATTCGGTGTGTTAGTATTTAGCATGGCAAGAGTGTGTATTTCTTAGCAAGATGTGTCATAGATGGTGCCTCATATTCTGTTAGCAATGTTTCAACAAAAAGAAGCAGTACAGCTTTAGGAAAAAATACCACAGACTAATGAATTGTTATTTGTGTGCAATACAGCAACTTTTTCCAGTTCTTTTAAGATTTCATGCAGATGAGGACTTGAGTCTCCTCAAAGACATCCCATCACGTATCAAGGACAAGCTTCTGAAGAGACATACAAATCATCTGCATTTCTGAAAATGGATAAGCCTTTAAACTTTGTGTCTGGTGAAAAATACCAAAATGATCTCATTGAGTTGTAGTTTGGTTCTGTATCTTAAAAAGTATATGCAGGTGTACTGGCGTGAGTAAGATAAACCTTGTGCCACTGTTGCCACTTTGAGAAGAAAATTTTGTGCATCAGTCAGGCAGAATGCACACCATCAGACTGGCAACCCAGTGCCAGAAAAGGTGCAAACACAGCGATGTAACTCCATTTCTTAACAGTAGTGTATTTCAGTGAGCTGGTGCACAGGATTTTTTGAGTGTTGAGTAGATTCATGCCTTAGTGTTGACAAGAGGTTGATTGCTTCTGTATGGCAGTACTAAAGTAGGTATAACGCTCTGTAAGGGTACTGTTGTGTCTTTTGTGGTGGTTTCTTTCTGAAACTCTGTTAGTTAATGGAAAAAAAAATGTTGAAGTCCACACGCATTACTGATTTTAGAACATAGTTATTGCAATTGAACAGTTTTGCATATATCTAAATGTGGTAATAGCTCAAGGAAAATTATGTCTACTAATTTTCATTTACTTGCTGTTTTTATTTTGTTAATATTCTGTAATCACACTTTTCACTCAAGAGCGGAGTCTGTCTCGACCATTGGAAGCAGGAATGTTTTGATGGTGACAGGTTTTTACTATAAAATTGCTTGCAGTCTCTTTGATTATTGCATGGACTTCAATGGTAAATAAGTAATAAGTTGTTTTGTATTTGTTTGGGTTTTTGGGGATACGTATAATGTGTGTTTAGTTGGTTTTGCTTCATTTTTAAGTAAAAAATGATGGTGGGAAACCCAGCAAGCATTTCCACTGTAGAAAAACCTCTATGAGATTTTGGCCAAAAAATACTGGTTTGTTTTTGTGGGGTTTGTTGGTTTTTTTGGGTTTTTTTTGTTTGTTTGTTTGTTTGTTTTGGTTTTTTTGGCAAATAATTCTTCCTCAACCAAGTTCATAATTTTAGTTTGTTTTTCCTGGGTAATCTGGGGCTGGTTTTGGTACAGGTTTAGCAGTATAGCGTGATCGGTACTTGGTTCATATGATGATGGTATTTCTTTTTGGTAGCATGATATGTGTGATGTTTTAATAAAACTTAAAATCATAGGCAGGCCTGAGTTTGAAGGCACCTTGAAAACCATCTAGTGAGAAGTACCTAAAGTTTGTTTTTTCAAATATTGAGATTTGTTTCTGGACTCTTTATGGCTGGACAATGTAAGAAATGGATTGAAATATGATATGCTACTAACATGACCCAAATCTGGTCTTGCGCTGTTGTAATGAGGTACAATAATGGACAAGAGTTGGTGAGGAAGATGAAGGAATGTAATGTATGACTAGTACCTCTCTGTAGCTTAGAGACCAAAAGGATTAGGTTTTAGGCTAATTGATCTCTGCTAGGAAGAAGACATGAGCATTTTGGCTGGAGTACTAGTTTGGTTCTCCAAGCAGTGTGTTTAAGTACATTGACTGTAAGGTCAGAGGTTTTCCTTTAATAAACTGTTTCAGCTTCTCTAACATACTCTGATCTTTAGGGACATGAGGGTGATTGGAGAGCTGGAGCACTTCTGCTCTGAAGCTGAAGACATGCTGAGAGAGCTGGGGTTTTCAGCCTGGAGAAGAGAGGGCTGACTTCCTTGCAGCTGCTCAGTACCTGAAGGGGGCATCTAAAAGGAGAGGGACTTTTTATACAGATAGGGACAGGATAAGGGGCAGCAATGTTTTAAACTGAAAGAGCGTAGGTTTAGATTAGAGCTTAGGAAGAAATTCTTTATTCAGAGGGTGCTGAGGCACTGGTACCGTTGCCCAGAGGAGCTGTAGATGCCCCATCCCTGGCAGTATTTAAGGCCAGGTTGGATGTGGCCCTGGGCAACCTGGTTTAGTGAGTAGCATCCCTGCCCATGATGGGGGGGCTGGAACTAGATGATCTATAGGGTCCTTTCCTGTGGGATTCACATTCTCTGAACCTGAGAGAAGCAGTGAGAGAAGCAGAGAAAAGAATGATCAGAACAATTCTACTTTGGCACAACACTGCACCTGTGTTGTGCCAAGGTAGATGCAATGTGGAGATTGTTTACCCAAAGTGATGTTGTTTTGTTTCCTTGGCCTGTCAGGGCCAAGCAAATGTGCAGACTGTTGGTCAGCAGACAGTCACAAGATTCTGTGCAGTTGAGTGCTTGTTTCAGTTTTTTAGATGTCATGTAATATAGTATAGAATAATATAGTATGATAATTAATTAGCCTTCTTTGCTCTTTCTACAATAATGCCTCTCGCCTGTTCTTGTGTCATTCTCAGTGCAAGAGTGGCACGTTCCAACCCAAACCATTCCATGATTCTGTTCTATGATTCTGTGTCTTCATTTAAACTCTCAGCTTTTTATGGTTTTGTTAAGGAAAACCATGAGAGTTTTAATACAGAGGGGAGAACAGTTCTTATTTTAAAAATGTTTTTCTCTTCAACTTAAGAATACCTATTATGCATAAGGATTAGTTAGGCTTCTCAGAGGGCTTTGTTCCTTTCTTGTTACCTTTCCCTTCTCCTTTTTTCATCCCCCGCTGGAAGTGAGAAATCTGGAAAGGTCATAACTAATTAGTGGATCTTTTTTTAAAGCAAGTGTTCAGAGCAGCCATTTGCCCCACTGATGAGTTCTATTGATAAGAATGGTTATTTTTATTAGTAGATATTCCTCTGTAGGAAATAGCCATTTCAGCAAAACTATCTAGTCATATTTCCTGTGTTTGGCTTGTCGGAATCTGGGGTTTAAGTGTAGGAGCCGCTCACTCGAACCAAAAACAGAACGTGTTTCAGATAAGCCGTAAACTTTAAGAAAACTTTTTTTAGCAGCGTGTGATTCACTGCAGCGTGTTCAGCTGAAGAAGTTTTAGTAAGTCTCAAGTCTCTTCATTTTCTCAGTCAAAAATAGTTCACTAAAATTCTGGGTTGTTTCTTGTTGCATGCAAGGCTTCTTTCTAAGGTTCCTGGATTTTTTGTGGTTTGTATTTTTTTTGTTTGTTCAGTTGGTTTTTCTGAGGTTTTCTTTTTTTGTTGTGGTTGTGGTTTTGGCTGGTTGTTTTTTGGCGCTTTTTTTTGGGGGTGTTTTTTTTTGTTTGTTTGTTTTGGTTTGGTTTTTTTTTTTTTTTTGTTGGTTGGTTGAAGGGCAAATACATGACTCATTCAGTGTCTAGGGTTGATTAGATTGCAGGGCATTTGTTTATTGTTGCCCTGAGCTTTTCTGGTAGACAGCGTATTGCAAACTCAGCTGCTACATTTTCCTAAATTCTTGAATAATGAAGTTAAAATCAAATTATCATTGGCATGATGTTCTAGCTTACTCTAATCTGCTGAACACGTAGGAATGCTCATATTTGCATGCTGCAAATGGACAAGAGCCTAGTGCAGACAGAGCCTGCGTTAAGTAGGATTCTGTAGGTTTTTTTTGATTGCTGAAGCTTTGTTGCTTCTTGTTGCTGACTATATTCTGTGTTGCTGCTAAATTTCACGTAACACGAACTATTAGGTTTATGAATTTCACTCCTTTTGTAAGGTCATCTGATCTTAAATGTTACTTGTTATCTGCCTCTGCTGTTGAGTGGGGGTTGGTGAAGAAGTGGAAATCATGCCTTCTCTAAGTATCTGCAGAGTTTTGAGTGAAGAAGGATTTGTGAAAAGGAAGAATGTGAGGGGAGAAGAGATGCAAGTTTTCTATGGGTAAAGCCTGGATTTGTAGCTTGTTTCCATCCAGGGCATTCTGGGTGTGCTGTTGAACCTAGGTTAGGGTCTTCAGAAATGCCTAGTAAATTGGAATCTAGCTTGAGTTTTTTGGGGTTTGTTTTTGTGGCTTTTTTTGTTTGTTTGGGTTTTTTGTTTGTTTTTTATTTGTTTGGTTTTTGTTTGGTTTTTTGTTTGTTTGGTTTTTTTTCTTTCCCATTAAGTTTGTGTTTAAATATGTGTGGGTCTCAGAAATCTGGAGATGAACTTACTATTTTTAGGATAGTAGCTGGCATTGCCTTGAGGGATGTGAACTGCTCTGATGGGATTAATTAAAGAAGTCTGTAAGGACAGTTGCTTTCCCTGCCACAGTTGTTGTAGACACAGTAATATTGTGCTTTTGTAGCTTTGGGAAAAGCAGCTCTTGGAAATCAGCTTTTGTGAATGTCTTTTGTTTTTCCAAGTTTGCAGTGTAACAATGTTACACAGAACCTGTTGCAAAGTAAACTGTAGTGGTAAGCTAATAAAGCAATGAAGTAAGCAGTGAAATATTACCAATGAAGGAGGAGGAAGGTAGAGAGGAAAAATACTTTGCGTGTTCACTGTGAACTTGGCTGGAAGCAGTGGAATTCAAGTGTAAATATTTTCACTCCCAATATTATTTTCAGTAACTATGAAATGTTCAGAATTCCTACTCTGTTATTAGGCAGTCACATGAACAAATATTTGAGGTAAAAGAAATCAAAGCTGGTCAAAGAAGTAATTTCTTTGAATGACGTTTAGAGATTTCCAAGTCATCCTCTGTTTGTGTGGGGTTTTTCTTTTTTATTTTTCCTTATTTCCTATTGAGATTTCTTTATATTCAGAACTGCAAATGCCTCATTTTCATTTCTTGTTTTTATTTTACTTTTAGAATCTTAAAAGTTTTGATGCAGGTGAAAACTACTTCTGTAACACTTCATGGAGTGATGTCTCTCCTTGGGAGCCTGTGGGCAAAAGGAAGGTATGTATGTTCGTGACACAAATTCTGGATAAACATGTTGTGTGGAGTTGCTGAGTTTGAAAATTTTCAGAAATTGGAATGCAGCTTTTTTATTGAAAAAATAGCTTTAATATTTGTTTTCTAAGTGCTATTAGTCAGGGAATAATCTTACATTTCCTCTTTGTTCTTCCCTGTAATAGAGGTGGTTATGAGGACTTCAGTTACCATTTTCAGTCTTTAAGGATACAACCCTGAACATCAGTGTTTAAGATGTCACAGTAATATTTTGCCTTTTTAGCCTAACCTAATATGTAGTCTTAGCATGGTCTTCTGTACAACATGACTCCTGTTTCATTGGAAGGGTGAAAATGTGATTGCATAGATGCAAGTGGATTAAGATGAAATTATTATTAGTGGCTTGGTCTGGGGTGGCAGTGGAAAACTCCAGTTAGATTTGTGTATGTGAAACAGCTTTTAGTTCTGTATAGCTAGACTCCATAAGAAAGGCAGGGTTGAGGTGAACAATTCTATAATTGTATCTAGTAGCAAGTTTCTGAGATGCTGTGTCTAGAGCAGTGGAGTATGTCCAGAAAAAAACATAGACTTGTCAGTCTTGCTGAAGAGTCTTGGGGCCCCTCATGGCCTTCTTATGGAAGACCTATCAATGAAATTCAGTGTGGAATTGATAACACATTGCTGCAGAACAGTTCCACACTGTCTCTTTTGGATACTAACCTTGTTCTCATCCATTTTCTTTAAACAATTCTGGTTTATTAATGTATATCATTCACATATCATGCTGCCTAGATTTGGGAGAAAAGAAGCTGGTCCTTCAGGATGTTCTTTTCCAAAGTTGTTGCCATAAGGGGAAAATAAATTGTTGCCTCCTGTAAACTCAGTAGGCTGGAGAAGATGTCTGTGTAAGTGCAGTTGGTGGTTTCCACCATTTGTACTGTTTTTAGGGAGACGTTAACTGTTCTGGCAGAACTTTAGTTTTTTGAGGTTGTTTTGTCTTTCTGCATGATTCTAAGTTGTGGGGAATGTGAGACTACACAACAGAAAGTACTACTATGTTCTTGAGTAGGTTCTTTAAAGGAGGGTTAATTGAGTTTACTGCAATGTCTCTTATAAGCCTTCTTTTGGATTCCATTTATACAGTTGAAGATTGGTCAATCTCCAAGATGCTTTCTTTTTCTTAAGTGGCTTGTATTCTTATTCTTATTTTGTCAAGCTTTCTATAAAACTGGCATGCCATTGGTAGGTTGTGGTGAACCTGAAAAAGCAGATGGGTGAACAGAAAAAGCAGAAAAAGCATGCAAGGAGAACATGCTGGCAGAATGGTTTGTAAAGTGTTTGTGTGGAAAAGCTCGGTTTCATACAGAGAATATCAAAGCAGTGTACTTCCATCTGCTTCTGTTCAGCTGAAAGAGAATTGTTTGGAATTTTTCCTTTGTCATTTTACTCCTTCAGAAGTAGTGAGGTGTATCTTCTAGTAATGTTCTGTGTGCTTCATTAGTTCATTAGTGTCAGTGGCCTTTCTCTAGGCAGGATACTTAAAGATCGATGCATCTGCTAATTTGCTTTGTTGCTGTTTACTAGCAGCTAAGATTAGGCACCTAAAGAGGATATATAGAAGATAATTCAGTGATAGCTTAGCAGTGGGCTTCTTCAGCAGCCTTAGCCAGCCAGTGGCATTGTCTGACCCAGTCTTTTGAATTGGTTATCGTCAGGAGACTCTCCTAGTGTGGTATTCACATTCTCTGAACAGAGAGAGACATAATTCTCTCTCCCAGGATTTTTCCTGGGCAAGGCATTGAGAAAGCTCAGAGAAAGAAGTAGGAAAACAATTCTTACCTCTAGTTGCTGTTCCCGTTGTTTGGCCCATGTGGATTGTGTTATGGAGATTGTTTACTGAAATGGATTTGTTAATTGGACTCTGGTGATGGTTGTTTGGACTGATTGACCACTTGGGTCAAAGCTGTGTTGTGACTGTCTGGAAAGGGTCACGGGTTTTTCTTTAGTATAGTATAGTTTAGTATAGTATTAGTGTAGTAATAGAATGTGATACAATATAGCTTAATAAAGCATTTGTTCAGCCTTCTGAATCATGGAGTGGCTGGGGGACACCCAGCATGGATACTCCTGCTGCTGCTAGGACATGGCTGTCTGTCTGTTGTCTGTAGATGGCTGACTGTAACCTGCATGGTTTATGACATGGCAAAAAAAAATACCTGCACTCGTTGTGTTGCTGTTCTTCATGGTATGTCAGTGAGAAGTATGTGGGTGATCTAACTGGGCTGGATGCTGTAGTGGCAGAACAGCTTGTTCCCTTTGGGTTCTGTTTCATGAGGGCAGAAATCAGTGAGGTGACAAACATGTCTGAGGGAACAGACAGATTCCACTAGATTTTTGAGTGTGCAGATTTGTCACATGGGTGTTGCTGTGACCGATTCTGTAGTTTTTGGCAGGAGCCAGGGTTAGGAAGTTGATCAGAAAAAATGGTTGATGGGGCTACCAGTTTTTCAGAAAGAACAAATCATGCTCATATGGATATGAAAAGCAGTGCTGTCATGTGACATATAACTGAGGGAGCAAATCACTGGTTAGTGCAAAATAGATGTGTTCTTAAGCAGTTAAAATACTTTCCTGAGAGGAGTGTGTATGCTCTATACTGAGTGTTTTCGAGGAAATTTCACAAAAAAATTCTATGATGGGATGCCCAGTACGTATGAGTTAATATAAATTGTATGTATGAGTTAAGTGTATAAGTATGTATGAGTTAATACATCACTGTTTTATCATAACAGGGGGTTTTGCTACTTCCTATTATTATTTTGCTCCAAAAGAATGTTCTTTAAAAAATCTTTGTTTATGGCCTTGTTGGGAAGGTCTGGAGAGTTTTCAGCAAAGATCAGGCTGTTGAAATACAGAAAATAAAATCCTTGCCTGTTCTGCTTTTTGTCTTTTTGTCCAGTAGATAGGAGCTGACCCTGAACTAAACAAAGCTTTAAAGGTGTCAAATTAAAAGGGGTGCTATTCCTAATTCCTAAGGCTTAACTTCTGTATATAGTATATATTTCTGGCTTGTTCTGTGATTCCTGTATTTAAAAACAGACAGGCTTCAGAGTTACTTCTTGTGAACTAGGGTAGAAGTAAACTCATGTAAGGCTTCTTTGTAAATTATAATGAAACAAAAAAGGCGCACAAATGTTCCCCCCCTTAAGTATGTAATCTTTAAATCTGCTTTTCAAAACCAGAAGAAACTGGGAAGATACATGCTGTACATCCAGTGAAGGCATTTCTGACAGCTGATAGTGCAGATTTAAACAGTTAGCAGTGGCATAGGAACTGACAGTTTCTAAGTGGATGTTTCTCTTTGGTTTGCAGAGATACAGAACAAAGCCGTACTGCTGTGGCTTATGCAAGTTCTCATCCAAGTTGCTTACTTCTTTCAAGAATCACTTGCATCGTTACCATGAGGATGAAATGGACCAAGAGATGGTGGTTTCTTGCCCAAAATGTGCATTTTCTTCTCGGCCCAGAGTAGTGGGAGAACACATCTGGATGTTTCATTCATTTAATAAACGAATACAGAACTATACAGTCAGCATTTTGGATGGCATGAAACAGTTTAGGAGTGACATCATAAACTTCACGTGTCTAAAATGTCAATTCACAGACACCTTGTATTACAATATGAAGAAACATGTGCTGATGAACCATTTTGAAAACTTACTAAGTGCATATTTTGGCGAGAAATGTGATGAAAGTACACCGAATTCAGTTGAGTTCTACTGTAAAAAATGTAATGCTCCTGCGAACAGCCCAGATTCTTTAATGTACCATGTCTTGACAGCTGAAACACACAGAGACCTGGAGAACAAACTTCGATCTCTGATTTCGGAACGCATTAAGAAACCTGGACTTGTGAAACAAATGCATATTGCTCCAAAGCCTATCCCAGGTGTAGCAGCAGCTGCCCCATCTGCAGGGCCTCTTGTTGTCCCAGCAGGTTCTGTGACAGCTCCAGCTTGCATCCAGGTTGCATTTCCACAGAATAATCAAAACCAGAGCATGGTGCACACACAAGCAGTTCAGAACACAGTTGGACCAGTGACTGTCCCAAGTGCCTCTGGCAGCCTCCCAAATACCACCTGTGCTCCTGCTGCTCCATCCTCGCAGGTCGCTCTTGTGCCCAGCAATCCTCCCGTGGCTCAGAACAACCTTGGTATTCAACCTTCACCTTCACAGGCTGTCCTTGTTTCTCATGGGTTCCGTCTTAATCATTCTGTTGGGAACATAAATAGAGCTGTGGCCCCTGCGGTTCTTCCTCTTAATCAACCTGTCAGGCCTGGGCTCTTTCCTGTTAATCAAACAATCGGGACTATAAACAATCTGGTTCCAGCTGGAACGCTCCCTGCTACTCAACCTGTCGGCCCTGTGAATCAACCAGTTGCACCAGGAGTCCTCCCTGTGAATCAGCCAGTTACTCCAGGAATTCTGTCTGTTAGCCAGTCACTTGGGAACATGAACAGACCTGTGGATCCCAGGGTCCTTCCTGTGACGCAGACAGTTGGGTCGGGTCTTCTCCAGCTTAACCAGCCTCTTGCCCCTGGGGTGGTTCCTGTCAGACAGCCTGTTGGACCTGGGTTCCTTCAGCTTAATCAACCTGTTGCCCCAGCACTTATCCCAGTAAATCAGCCAGTTCAGCCTCCGGTTTCTCAAAGCACAGCTTTTTTGACTGCGGGCTCTATACTGAGGCAGTTGATCCCCACTGGCAAGCAGGTTAATGGGATACCTACTTTCACGCTGGCCCCCGTCTCTGTTACTTTGCCTGTACCTCCCGGTGGTGGAGTAGCAACTGTGACACCTCCGCAGGTGCCTATCCAGCTCGTGCAGACGGGGTCAGTGGCTCAGCTGTCCCAGTCGCCAGCCAATGCTCCTTCTCCTCCTGTAGTTCTGACCTCTGACAATGTATCCTTGCAGGCCTCCCCACCTGCTCCTGAAACAAGCCAAGCTGTCAGACAGGCCAAACAGTGGAAGACCTGCCCTGTTTGCAATGAGCTTTTCCCCTCAAATGTCTACGAGGTGCACATGGAGGTGGCCCACAAACCACTTGAAGTAAAAGTGGAAGCCCCAGAACCTCACAAACTTGCAGCTTGCGCATCCTTTCTGAGGATGACAGAAAAGGCAATCCGGTGTTACGCTTGTAAGTGTTTTCTCTGTGAGGAGGAGCTCATGAAGCATATCTTCATGCATGGCTTATCTTGCTTGTTTTGCACAGGTACTTTCTATGACTTAAAAAGCCTCGTGGAGCACAACAAAACTGCACACAATGGGAGAAAGGAGTTGCATGCGAGTTACAGCAACAGAGGAATTCAGCTAGGTAACGATGCTCAGGGTGGCCTTGTGTTCCCACACTTTGATTTCAACACAGTGCTACCAGATGAAGACATGGGTGAAAGAGAAGTACATTTGGCAGTGCTTGTTGGAATATATTCAACAGTTCTTGTCCCTGTTTACATCAAAGTGAAACCTCAGACAGCACAAGTGAACAGGAGATGCACCAGAAAAATGTTCACCTGTCCCTTTTGCTTAGGTACGTTTGCTGGTAGAGAAACCTATGAAAAGCATTTGAAAGAGAGGCATCATATAATGCCGACTGTGCATACGATTTTAAAGTCTCCTGCTTTCAAGTGCATCCACTGTTGTGGTGTGTACACTGGAAATATGACTCTGACAGCTATTGCTGTACATTTGCTCCGTTGTAGAAGTGCTCCCAAAGACACCAACTCGAGCCTGAAGATGCAGCTTGAGCGCACTGAGAGGAAAGAGCTGCTGTTTGTGAATGGTGAGAAGCATCTTTCTGTGGTACTGAAAAGAAAGCAATCAGATTCCTGCTTTGTTGCAGAAGACCAAAGGAATAAGGAACAGCAGCCTCTGAGCTTAAGTACTGGCATAGCTCTGTCTGCAGAGAATGAAGTAAATTCAGGGGTAGTGCCTTTTAAACGACAAAAGATTAGGACTGAGTTAAGAAAACTTCCTTCTAGTGAGGATCTCCGCTTTCTAGCAGTAGATCCTAATCAGTATGATCACAATTCATATGAGGCACAGAAACAGTTTTTGTCAGACTACTTTCACAAGAGGCCATATCCTTCTAAAAAAGAGGTGGAATTACTTTCCTTGCTGCTATATGCATGGAAAATTGATGTTGCATCGTTCTTTGGAAAAATGAGAAATACATGCTTAAAGGCAATAAAACATCACAAACCATCTGTGCTGCTGGGTTTCAGTATGTCTGAACTAAAAGACATTAAGCACAGTTTGAATTTAAAAGATGGACCATTGGATATGTAACTCAGCTTTTTATAGTAGCTAAAAGCAATCCATAATTGCATACTTACAATTTAGCAGTTTATTATATTGTTTGTTTTAACTTGCAGACTGGCCTGTTGAAGGGTGCAGTAATACAAAAAGTATCGTTCACTTCTGACTGTTATTGTGAAAGGCACACGTAGTTGTGTATTTTAAAAGCTAAAACCTTCAGACTTAAACATCTGGAATTTGTTTTAGCTTTTTCCCTTTCCTGGGGGTAGTGTTGTGGGGATTTTTTTTTGTTATTTTTTTTTCCTGTTTGGTTTTGAGGGGTGTTTTTGTTTGTTTTTTGTTTCTTTTTTGTTTTGTTTTGGTTTTTTGTTTCTTTTTTGTTTTGGTTTGGTTTTTTGTTCTGTTTGTTTGTTTTGTTTTGTGGGGGTTTTTGGGGGGGCAGTTTGTTTTATTTTGTTCCACTTCCATTTCTTTTTCTTCCCCTTCAGGCTCCTATTACATTTTTTATACTGTCATGTAAAACCCTCATCCTTGTTAAAACCAAATTTTATTTTATTTTATTTTTATGCAGTGTCGTCTTTTCTAAGTAATAAAATGTGTAATGTGGGTTAAAATAACAAGGTAAACTATGTGAAAAAGATTAATTTGACTATTTGTATTTTTAAGTCCTGATATTTTTGACCTGTTTCTGGTTTATCTACTGAAGCAGTGATTGCGGCCATTACATCCATTACCCTTTCAAATTCCCAGCGTGCTGGTAGCTGTGAAATACATGGCATTGTGATTTTTTTCCTCGGTCAGAATACCTGTGCCAGTTAAATCTGGTGATCTGGTTCCTGCTGAGTATTAACATAAGGGGCTTTTGGGGGTGCCCATTGGAGTGTTACAGTGAACTGAGTTGAAATGGTTGTGTTATCTGTTAAATAGATCTTGCTAACCAGAGGTGTTTATCCTTTTCATTTGGTGTTGAAGCCTGGTTGTTTACCTGTTGTTCAAAGCAGCATTTATTTTATTTTCTTTTTCAAAAAACAGAGCTGCTTTGGAGAGTGTCAAATTACTTTGATACATGGAGTATATGGCCTCTGTGCATGTCACTTAAGTGTAGAAGCCCTATCCAAATATCACCCAAATATGGTGGAAAATCTGACTTTTTAAACTGCTGTTTTATACAGTAGTAACTGAGCAGAACCTACTCCCCAGCAAATTAGATCCCTGGCTTGAAGTCCCTTGGGTCAGAAATGGTACAAACTGAACCTGGATGAATTGGTAGCATCAAGACTTTAAACTGTTGAGTACTCGAGCCCTTGATATTCGTGTAGTGATTGGTTCTTGTTGGCCTGTAGAGAGCATCACAGTAGTACAAACCCAAAGAGACTTACCTTCAGTATGGACTGACATCTCTGTTGCAGATTACAGGAGAGCTGTTGGGAAGGTTCACTTGAGTTGAAGCACAAGCTGGTGGCCACATCGAGGCCTTGTTGAGTGCTGTCCTTTCTGGATATGCTTGTTTTCATCTGGTTTGTCTAAGAGTGGCTCCAGTAGCAACAGCCAGTTACATAATAAATAACCTGTAAGATGCATTGGTTTTATTTCCTCCTCTTCACTCCCCCCTCCCCACCCTCCTTTCTAAGAAGAAAAAAACAAAGTTCACTTGTGCCAGTGTTAGAAGGAAAGGGTGATATGCCCAAGCTGATTTCTATTTTTAAGGTAATCAGTAGACTTTTGCCCTGTGCTGTAGGAACTTTTTATCTAAAGCAGATACAAAATGTATTATTGCTGTTTCTGAAAGGGCGTGACATGTTTAGCAGAATTTGGTGACTTCCTGCCTGAGGCTTTATAAGCTGTTTGGAGTTATATTTTGGATAAAATCATATTTTCATATTTATTACATCAAAGAGTTTTAATGTGTATGTAACATATGGTTACTGCTATTTGGAAAAGCCTAGTAATTTAATAGCAGTGTTAAACAAACATATACAATATTTATGGGATCAGTTGCACGCCACCCGAAAAAGTGATTAAGAAACTGTGTTCTTATAGCCTCATAATAGCTCATTAAAAATTAAAAAATAAAGTATACTTGGCCATAGCACACGGTTCATGAAACTTGTTCAGAGGGCTGTGAGTGAGGAAGAGGAATGCTCTCTGGAAGTCCTGAAATGTAGACACTTACTCTTGCTCTTATAGCCTCTGCCCTGTGAGCCCTGTCATCTTTGGGGCGGTTCTGCTGGTTCTGGTGAGACTCCAGGATGGGGGTTTGGTAGTGTGCATCTGGGGAAGGCTTGCCATGAATGGGGAAGGATTGTAGAGAGAGCAACGTGGCTGTGGGGAGCTGGGAAGTCATTTCGTGGCTCATCCATGCTTGGGGCACCAAGGGAACAATCCAGTCTTACCAGAGTTTTCCTACATAGTGTCCATTGTTGATATTAAATGGTTTATTTATTGGATTTTGATTTCACAGTTTCAAATAAACCATATTTTTAACTTTCTCTTAGGTGTGTGTGCAAATGATTGCCTATTCATCCTCTCTCCTCTTTTAATACATTCAGAGAACTTTATGTGAACATTTTTTTGGTGCAAAATGGCTGTTGAAAGAGACAAGAGGAAAGTAAGATGTAGAACTTGGATCTAGATGCTTCAGGTAGATCTTAGTGCGTTATAGTAATTGTGTATTATCTCAAATATTGGTAGCTGCATTTTTTCCTAGAGACTGATGCTCCTAAGTCTTGGTACTAATTTGCTGTCACTAAGTTGTTGTGCTCTTTTAAGTGGTTTCTGTAGAAATAAAAACCAGATCAATTTTGAAATGTGAAAGCGGTGACTGAGAACGCAGTATGGTTGTGGTTTTCAGGAAAACCAAGGAGCTTGAAAACAGCCAAGTTAAAAATCAGTGGCTTTAATTAAATCAGGCTTTTTGCTGTGGGCTTCTCACAGGTGAAGTTGTTGGGATAGAGAGTCAGGAAACACACTGCTGCCCTGGTCTTGGCCTCCACGTGGGTGGTGTGGTATTTGCCTCTCTGGCACTTCTCTAAGGACAGAACCTCATACTGCTGGGATATGGGAATGGGAAAACAGTGGAGCTGCCCTCTGCAGCAGGCTTTATGAATACAAGTCCTTGAAAAATGTGAAGGGAGCTCTGGTCCACTGTGAAGAAGCCCAGCTGGGAAGAATGCTGGTTGGCTTGCAGGATGATTGTTGCAAGTACTTGTTTCCTATGGGACTGAAAAAGCCCCACATCTGCATGTATCCTGCTTCTGAAATACATTGGTCTGGAAAGGTGTCCATGTTTGAGCAATAATACTTTGTTGTGGTGCTTTGAGTTTTGTGCTTGTGAAATAGTGTAATAACTGATTACTTGAATATGTGCAGTAGGAAGGATTTTTGGTCATGTTTCTTCTGCATATGCTCATGTGCTGGGAGTTAAGTGAATACTGTTTGGTAAGCTGACACTTTGGAAGGGTCCAATAACCAAAACACCTTTGTGGTGGGTTTTCAATACTGTGTTCCTTTGTGGAATGCTACCTACCTTCATAATCACATCAAACTTTTTTTCCCTTCAGTGTTTAAAATTCAGAAAACCTCAGATGCTTATTCAGGTAGCTGATGAATATAATTTTTGGGTTTGCAATTCTCAACAAAATTATCTATAAAGCTATGATTCTACTGCAGCTGGCTGTGCCATTTTCAAACATATTTCTCAAACTTGAAAACTTGATTGTGGACACCTTTTTGTGGGAAAGATACTTGATATTAAGTAGGAAAGTACAGATACATGAAAAAAGAAAGTTGCAATCTAATAGCAAGGAGGATGCTCCCCCCTACAAAAGACCAAGAAAACCACCCTAAAACCAAATAAAAACCGAACAATGAACCCCCCCCAACCCAAAAGAAACCCCATCCCCAACCCCAAAACCTTAAGAAAATGAAAATGTTCATTGCTTTTTTTAAAAGTCAGGAGACCTTTAACTCCTCTGCAATGTGAAAAGGACAATTTGAGTATTCATGAATGAAGGAAGACTTTGTGGTGCTGCACTTAAAGTCTCAACACCTCACTTCAGTGCCTGCCTTCCCTGTCTCATTCTGGCTGTTCAGATCTGACAAGCAGCTTGCAGCTGTGACTTATTTCTCTTCTTACTTGGGTACCAGATCCCAAAACACGTGTGACATTGTTCTTTTTGCTGTGTGCTTGCCTGTTTTAAGGCACTGAGTGCAAGGGGGTGTCTGTGGTGTGCTTATGGTGCTGCTGGCGTGCTTGAGGAGTGTGTTGTTCCGCAGATAACCAGGAGCACGTGGGCTGTGTGCTCACCCTTTTAAGTCCACATCAACTGCTGTTCATCAAGGTATTACATGGCAGCATGTTTCAGAGCAGCTTGTAATAGAATGAGGGGGAGTAGAAGTCTCAAGAGTTAGCAGGTATTTTATTTTGTTTGCTTGTCCATCAAGAGGGAGTGAGAGCAGTTCCTGTCATCCTTGCAGGCTGAGACTAGTGGGTGGGGTGTGGATTGAGCTGCACCAAGTAAGCCAAGGATGGGACAGCTGATAGTGTGTGTGTCATTGAAAACCATCAGGCTTGGGAATTTCTGGAGAAAGATCTGATTAATTGTATTATCAGAGTTGGTGTCAGTTTGACTTACAGTCTGAACAATTCTCTCACCCTTGTAGAAGAGGTGCTGCATCCCTCTGATCATTTTGTTGATCCTCTGCATTTTGGAGTATGAGTTCATTTTAAGGTAGCTGTCTGGACTGATCTTATTATTTTATTAATGCTGTGAAAAGTGCAAGTCTATTAACCCAACTTGTTAATGGAGGAAAAGCTGCTAGGCAGCATTGGTGCAGAGAAGAACCAGTATTATACGTGAAGAACTTGGGTGCTGGGACTTCCTGCAACAGCATCATGATTTATAAACACACATGGATGAAGGTCGGCCAGCACAGATCCACCCAGCCCACTGCTGCTCAAGGCTCAAGGTAGCCTTGGAACAAAGGGAGGGTGATGTGTGACCACGTTCAGTGTGGAATCCTGCAGAGCCAGCTGGATTCAGGGTTGTGACATTGAGAAGGATCAAGTGTGATTGGGGCAGGAAGACATTTTTGGGTTGAACTTCAGCTGAGGGGAGGTGTGTGAGGTGACTGCTTCAGGTACAAAGGAGTTGCCACCCACCAGCACAGTCCAGGACTGGGCAGTCTCTGTAGGAACCTGCCAAGTTCTGCAAAAACACATGTCCTGGGAGCACACCGAAAGCCCAGCTAACAAGGGTGGGGCTCCTGCTGGGTCAGGGCGTGGAATGGCATTTGGAAGCTGAGAGGCAGCAGCTCCCTGTTAAACACTGCACCAAGGAAGGCTGCTGTAGGTGAATTCCCAAAACACCTCTCTGTGAGCATAGTGGCTGTCCCTCCCAATCTGCAGTTTCTTTGTAAAGCCTGGGTTTTGCTGAACATGGCTTTGACCAGGTCCCTGCATGAGTGAGGAGTTTGAAGAGGACCTGGGGTCCTTGGATACTGGGGTGCTGTGGGAGTGGGGATGGGGGAGCCTCTCCAGAGCCCCTTTGAGCATGATACCAAGCTGGTGCTGCTGCACCAAAGGTGCTGGGGCTGGCAGGCCCTGGGAGTCTTGGACAGAGCAAAGTCCATCTCACAAGTGACACTTCTGCCACTGGATTCTTCAGACGCCAATTTTGTTCTTTAACAGATGAATTGGAAAGCTTGGACTGGAGGCTTCCTAATAAAAATTGTTCAACTAAGAAGTAAAATGTCAAATATTTATAAAAGTAAATATTTTTAAAATAATACAGATATTCAAAAAAATGCACATAGTATTCTGAATGCTTTCATTTTGGAGAGGAGGAGGGAACCAGAACAACAACAGCAGCATTAAAGACCTCTTAATCATGCAAGGCACTTGGGGAAGCAGAGCTTAGCAAAATGATATATTAACAGGGAAAAAAAGTCATTTTCTCTGAGCAGCTGCTTCCTACTGATTCTGTTGGCGTAAGGCACATGTTCCTCTGGGGCAGTGAGGTCAACTGCTATAGAAATACCCAAAAATCTTGGCAAAAACATTGAAATACCCCAAAATCCGCAATTTTTGTATCTTCTCCATCTAGTTTTGGATTAGGTGGAGGAGAAATTAACTGGCAGTTTTCTGTTACTTGCATAAAACTTTTGCTTTGTACAACTCTGTGGTTGAGCATTGTTAGATCTGTTTGTGTTTTTGCTGGAGTATTTGTATCATGCTGAGAAACATGGATTACTCTTTGGCAAATCTGAAGCCTTAAAACCTTTTAATACAGTGACATTACTATTAGAAGATGTTTAGCTGGTGGGGCCAGTTCCCTGTTCCCTCTCTGTGGGTGGATTTTTAAGGATATAGGAGGGCAAAAAATCTGAACAGGTGGCTTTAGACAAAGGAATTCACAAACCCTATAAGCAGACCCAGCCAAAGGCAGAGGGATAAGTTGTGCTTGGAAATACTATGTTGGTGAGAAGTCCTGAGAAGGGTGGAAGGGTGATAAACCCTGCAAGAGGTGATTACTTGGTTTTTCCTTTTTTTTTTTTTTTTTTTTTTTTTTTTTTTTTTTTTTGGTTTTGTTTCTTTACTTGGGTTTTCCTCCTTTCATCCATACTGCTGATTAAAAGTATGCTGTTTTCTTATTCTGCTTTGTATAATAAGTCAGCTGCAAGGGACAAGCAGAGCATCAGTGTCAGGCATCCATCCAGCCAAGGCTCAGCCCAGAGGCACCCTTGCCTCAATTTACATCCTTTTTCTTTTCGACAGGAGCTAATATACATTGTGCCCAGGTGGTCACACATGAACAAACCAATGTGGCTGTCATTGGAGAGTGGGGCACTGTGCCCTGATGGTCATTGCTGGGGACAGGATGGACATGTGGTGAACTGGGGCAGGATCCAGTTCTAGTCCTGGACTCCTCACTGGTTTTCCCAGTCCTCCCCTTGTGGTGGCCCCCAATGCCAGATTTAAAAAGGTGCTGACATCTACTGGTTGTTGTTCAGATATTAATGCAATCATTTGCCTCTTCTGAATTAAGACAATAATGCTGAATTTACTGTAACTTTATTATAATTTCAGGTCTGCACGAGAGTTCTTTAAATGATCAGGGTTTTTTAAGAAAAAAATCTTCAAAATACTCACTTCTTTGTTAACAAGCACTGAAACCTTGAGAGTGTGTCTGGGTTTGTGCCTGTGTCTGATTCAGCCCTGAAGTACCCAGTTATATGAACTCTTTGGATTGCTGGCGACAAAAATTATGGTTGTCGATTTGACTCTTTTCCATGCCAACAATTTAATACATCCATACATGTCCTTGATGTCAGGTGTGCTTCTCAACTGAGAATTACATTCTTGGGGCAGCCCTGAGTAGGTTATGGTAGGCATCTGCAGGAGGAAATAAATTTACATAAAGCAAGAGAGACTTAAGCCTGTGCAGATTGGATCTTCTTGAGATTGAAGTGGCACAGAAAATAGAACTGA